TGAAGGTCACATAAAGAGCTTCCCAGGCAAAAATAAACTAAATGAATTTATCACCACCAAGCCGAAAATTACAGAAAATGTTGGAGAACCTTCTTTAAGAAGAAAAAACATGTATCAAAAAACAGGAATAAAGACTGGTAACAACTACATTCCTATCAATAAGTACCTTAAAGGTAAAAGAATTAAGTGTTCCAACCAAAAGATAGAGTAGCTGAAAGGATAAGAGAACAATACCCCTATGTATGAAAAGGAAGGGAATGGAAAAAGATATTGCTGCGATGAACCTAGAAGGTATTTAAGTCAGATAGAGAAAGATAAACACTATATGATTTCACTTATATGCAGAATTTAAGGAATGAAAAGAAAAACTAATCAAAAACAGACTCACAAATATAGTGGACAATTTGGTGATGGACAGAGGAAAGGGGGTTTGGGGAGCTGAGAGGATGGAGTGAAGGGTTAAAGAAGTACAAATTAGTAGCTGATAGATGGTCATGGGGATGGGAAGCATGGCATAAGGAATGCAATTAGCATTAATACATTGGCGAGGTGGAGAGTCAGGGGAGGGAGGGAGCAATTGGGAGGATCATTTTACTAACTATATAGGTGTCTAACCAATGTACTGAATACTTGAAACTAATTTAAATTAAAAAATAAAAATAAAATACAATAAATGACTAGGGACATTTCCAAAGATTTAAGTACTAGGATGTACTTTATACTACTTTTTAAAAAGTAAACCAAAAAGTAAACAATGTCAATTTCAGACAATGAGCATTGATTAAATACATCAATACATATCACTGAGCAAACATATAGTTATTAAAATTCATGATGAAGAACAAAAATTGTCGGAAACCAGCCGACCAAGTCAAACCGGGTACCTGAATGGGGGAGCGGGGACTGAGAAAAAAGAGAAGACAGGGTGCAGGAGGGAGAACAGATCTCACAACTGTCTCTCCGAGTTTATTTCTTATGCTCCTTTTTATACATAATCTGTTCCTTTGTGTATCCCAAGATAACATAATAAAAGTAACATCCTGAAGATCGAGGTACAATCGACACTCCCTTTGACATTCCCTTTGTCTATACTTAATCTTCTTCCTGGAATTCCACAGAACCAGCCTTTTCTTTTTTTTTATGCAAGCAGGCCTCCCGAGATAATCCATGCACTCTTTTGAATTTTGGGAGCTTTAGCTCCCTACAAAAATATACTTAATAGTATGACATAATATTATAAAATATTATCTTGATTATGTCAATAAAAATAGCACATGAAGCATATGCATGGGAAAATATTTAAAGGGATAGCTGCCAAAATACAAACAGTGATTATTTCTAAGTAGTGGACTATAAGTGATTCACTTTGTCAGAGCTAGCCTTGCACCTAACAGATTTGGGCAGTGTCAGAGAACAAACATGTCTTTGTTGATTGCTATTATAGGAGATGCTGATGGCTTTCTACCCCACGTCCATTTCTCTTCCTCTCCATCCTGGAAACTCCAATTTTATTCAGGTGTCCACATTCTTCTAAAAAGCCTTGTGATTTGGGAAGGCTAGCCCCAGCCTCATTCCCAGCAGTAATTCCTCCTTGGTCTAAGGCTTAGATTCTAAGCTAATCATAGTTGTACCTTTTAAAGGTAGGCATGTGACCCAGTTCTAATCTGAGATATGAGAGGTCTACGAAGAGAGGGGAAACATCTAAACAAATTTTTTCTGTTGATGTCGTTATGTTAGGATGTGAAACCTAAAATTGCCAAAATCTTCTTGGGTCATGAGGAGAACCAGCCTTAGAATGAGATTGTCACTGAAGATGGCAGAGTGGAGAGTTGGACAACAACTAGGTCTTTGATGAAACCGTTAAGCTACTGATTGTACTGTTCATGGAGACTCCTTATTTCTTAATTTTTTATTGTAAGATAATAAATTTCCTTACTGCTCATTTATTTGAACTGATATCTTCTGTTACGTGCAGCTAAAGACATCCTAATGATAAAGTATTCCCTGGAGAAAATGGTGTTTGTCAATCTTCCTGTAGAGAATTTTGTTATAGCATAACTCCCAGGGAGAAGGAGGGAAAAATTAGGACCCGAAGGTTGTCCAAAACAAAGCAGGATCTCCCAGAATTTGAGGAAGTGAGGAACTGATAAAAATATGTTTTGGTGAAACCTGCTTTGATCAGAACATGATGAAAGGAATTAAACATTATTCTTCTTCTAATTAAATAACTACTATTTCATATTTTTAAAATTTTTGTTTTAGAAAAAAATAACTTGATTTTTTGTTTGAAAAAATGTTCAAAGAAGATACAATTTTTGATTTCCAAAATTTAAAAATAACTCACTAATTATTCTCTAAAATTTTACTCTTCTCTAAAATCTTCCAATACATTTGCTTTTGAAGCATATACTTGGAAACTATTCACAATTATAACATTTTACTTTCATGTAGCCAAATCTTTGAAGTAATCAGATTGTGATTCAACATATTTTGCTCATGAAATTTATACAGAAGTAGATAATTTCATAAAAATCTATCAAAGCAAGATAAAAATTTGATTATTTGGTTAAAAGTATTAGTGGTTCAACTTTAATATCTTTCTGATTTACTTTATAAGTAGTAGAAAAATCTGCTATGTTAGTTTACCTTAATTTCTTTTTTTTTGATATTCTTTAACTTCTATAATTGTTTTTTTTTTTTTGATAGTACCAGTTACTGCTAATTCCTTTTCATCATTCACAAAATATAGCTTGAGACCTTTGCTCAAAAAGGAAGGCTTGGTTATTAATAAACAACTTGATTATTTCAAGGTTGGGTTCTCTACTCATGTGAGTTTGCAACTATTGATTTTAACTACAGTAATTATTATATCTCTTTTTTGATCATGTTAGTTGGCTGCTCCTATTTTAAATCCTGTTGGTTTTTTTTTTTCCATAGTGATTTTAAAATTCGACTTGAGAAATTCAATGTTTCTGGACTTGGCTTAAATATTGAAATTTAATACCCTTGGTTAATGATCGGAGGCATTTGAGGTAGTCTTGTGTGGCACTTCTTGACCTTTGTTCACAAGTACATACCTGATCCTCCTATCAGTTGTACACTCATTAATTGTAGCTCCATTCTTCTCCATCTAAGAAGTGAGCTTTATAGGCATTATCTTCAATCCACAAACAAATCACTATGAAATACTGGCACTTCTTATCAACAACAAATTACTAGAACATTTCTCCTGACACTTCATCCCACTACACTGACACCGCATGATGCCTTATGACTTCCAGTGAAAAACACTACTCTAGTACTTATTATAGTACACTGGGAAACAAGATACAAAAGACAAAAAACAAAGTCATCCCCCTCATATTGGAGAATAACCCTTGTTGGGACAGAATAACTCAACCTTTCTATGCTTCTGTTTTTATATAAAAAATGAAAGCTACAAGCTCTCATGAAAATATTAGTAAGTTTAATGTTATTGTTTTGAGAGATTCCGTTCAATAAGACAATGGGCCTGGCAAAATAGGTAGGGAATCAAATGTGGAGGACCTGGAATCGTTGGCTGAGGAGTCTTTATGTATGGAGACTTGTAAAGACTATTGAACAGGGTAGTAGCATAATCATCAATAGTATCTGTGTCTTAAGGGGAAAAGTGGCAGCAGTGTGTATAATGGAGAGAAATATGGAAATAAGGAAAGTTCAGAGAATATTGCAAAGATCCAGAGGAGAGATGCTGAGGATAATTGCTGTGGAAGGGCAAGGGGGGGGGGATGGGACTAATTTAAGATATGACAGCAGATAATCAATCATAGAAGCAATAAGATTTGGTTAGTAGGTGGTGTGATGAATGAGGGAGAGGAAGGAAGGATTTGAATAGAACTTTGAGGTTTATGGCCTGACTTGAACATCTGAAGATGCCATTAATTGAATGGAGGCGCAAGGATTGCTTGTGTGTATGTGCCTGTGTGTGTGTGTGTGTGTGTGTGTGTGTGTGTGTGTAATAGGTGAAATGGGGCAGGTGTGAAAGAATGGTTTTGTCTTGTTTGAAGTGCCCGTGGACACCCGTGTGGTGCCATACAGCTGGACAGTTAGAGTAGGTCTGGGGACATACCTTGGTATAAAAGAAAAGAATACTCTTGTAATGTTAACAGTTCATTTTTATAGTGCTCAACTTTAGTGCCCCCAAACCCTGAGGTAGTTATTATCTTCCCGGCAGTAAAAACTTGATTACAGCCCCTGACTGCTGACTGTGTGAAGGCCCTTGATTCCCACAACTTCTACGAGCAAAATATTAATTGTGATTAATTATCGTCGGGCACAATACAAAGATTAGATGATTTATTGTGGATCCCGGAGCGCGCTTGCTTGGTTTTTCTCTGCAGCCCTCGAGGAAAGGGAACTGGACAGCTCCCGAGCGGCCTTAAGCCCTTCCGGGGTCGAAGCCAGCCAAGTGGATCTGCCCTTTGGGCCCTCAGACTTGGCTGCTTCGACCTTGAGCCGAGGGGCCGGCCTTCTGCTTCCTGGCTCGCGGACCCCAGCCCCCGCGCCGGGGAGGGGCGGGGTTG